GCAAAACACAATTTCAATGCTTGATTCACCTAATTGAATTCATTTTTTTTCTTTAACCTTTTTCACATTAAACATGGTTTATATAGTTGGAATAATTACTCAAGGGATTGGTCAGGGATACATAGAAATATGACCAGCTGATAGGATTTAAATTCATTGCAGAAAGAAAAGTATGTGATAAGGAAATGCGACTTCATTGGTGAAGAGAAAGAAGCAAAGCAATTCAATTTGTTAATCTTTATGAATAGGTGGAGGAATTAGGGTTATAAATTTTCATGAATAAGTAATTTAAAAAGGCATCAATTTTTATTTTTATATTTTATGTCTTCAAATATTCAAGAGTAGAAGACATGCTTCTAGACTTTTTGCTCAACTTATTTTATGAATTTGTTTCAATTATGACTCAGAGACTTCAACTTAATTAAAAACTTTATTGCTGGGACATTTATAGTGATTATACTTTTATATACCTACATATATTTTAAAATAAGATTACACCCATTTTTATGCATATATCATGGACCTTTAATCTCCACGTAGGGAACAGCAACCCTACATTATTGGTGATGTTAGATACCATGAGCCAAACAAAGTAAGAGCATGTTAGACTATATTTTGATAAATGGGTTGCACGTCTTTGAGAATATTCAAGACTCTAACTAAACTTAAAATAATAAGAATTATGGACAATTTTTTTTATTGTTCACATGCATTAGCTAACTCAACCAGGTCAACTATTCATTAATCAGTTGTATTAAATTTCCACCAACAATTTTTTTTTGGTAATTAGGATCCTATTTCTAAATCTTCCTTTAAATTTTGTAGCTATTGTGAGTAACCTATAAGGATATTTGTAACTATTTATAATCTTCAAACACACTCTACTTCTAATAAGTTTTCTGGATCGATAGTCATAAGGTGGTTTGATGATTAAGATTAAAAGTTTAAGGAATGAAATGAAGGAGGTTATGGGTTCGAGTCTCACCCATAACAACCATAACAAAAAGAGTTGAGAGAATGAGGTTGATGGTTCGAGTATCGTCCACATACTTTGTCATAAAAGCTAATAAATATGGTGAAAATGTTGCTTTTATCTCCTTAAAAAAAATTAGATTTCATGATATATTAAGTAGGTAGAATAGAATAATTGATTTATGTGTGAATTGGCATCTCACTTTTTTGTTTATATGATCCACATGCAGCCATGTCAATCTTGAGTTTTGACCATAACTTGGATAAACATGTTCTATGTACAATAAATTCTGATTCCAAAGTTTGTACCTTATGATATAATCTTGTAATCTTTCATGCCTAGTGGAAGTGAAAGAATCTTGAGTGACAAATTTCATAAGTATATATATATATACCTATAGGATAAAATAGCAGTTGGTTTTTTAAACTTGCTTCATATGTCTCAATTGTAGGGAAATCCAATAGTTTAGATCTTAAACTTGCTTCATGTCTTAGTCATCAATTGTAGGGAAATCCAATAGTTTAGATCTAATCACTAATTCAAAACATTCGATTTCTCGATAGATCCAAGATGACCAAAAGGTCAAAACTTCTGATAGCGACATTTGTTGAGAGTGACAGTGACACATCCGAAAGAGATTAGTTCATTGAGGGAAACCCTTAGTAGTACTTAAAAAATCATTATTTATATTTACTCATATTGATTTTTTTAAATGTAAGTAATTCAAATGAAAAGTATCTAGGACAGCCTTGCATGTCTTACCCTGTCCTAAACAAGAATTTTGCAATTTCTGCAACTGTGCTTACTTTCTTCAATAGGATTATTACTGTCTCAAATGGCCAAAAACTTATCTTTGATTTTCTTCAATGAAAACTTTCTTGTTCTTTTAATTCTATTGGCTTCTGAAAATAGGATTAAAGAGGGAACTGTTACAAATGTTCTTTAAAAGCTACCAACACTTCAAATTCAAATCAGTCTAATAAAAAGGTAACATAGATCAAAGGAGAATGTTTAATTCTATTGGCTTCTGAATTTTTAAATATTTTTTTCCAACCTCAAAATTATTTCAAACAATGCTTTCCCCAACCCTTTACTGCACTCTTCAGTGAATTATTTCAGCATGAAATTTTTTTGTAAGCTTTTGCTTTTATGCTTAGAAAAGACAATAAACATTCAAGTTTTCATCTTTTTCTCTTGATCTATTTTTCCCTTTTCTGTTTATGTAGTTTAATTGTGTATCTTATGCTGAATTATGGGGTCAAGATTTTATACCATAGTATGTCTAGTACTAGTGACATTTAAAGTCATATATAAAGGCAATTTGTGACTCTAACTTGCATGATTATATATGTGTAGGTGTTGAGGGTTATTGACATAGAGATTTTTATGTTAAGATGGATAATTCATCCAACTTTGATGAAAACTCTTATGTGGGGTATCAACCTTCAGATTATTCACTTTATCAAAATGATCATTCACTCATTGAAACTGCTAGCTACTCTCCAATCAGTGGTGATTCCTTTGCGTATTGCAGGACTAATTCGGAGTCAGAGGTCTCAAACTTCTCAGAGCCTATAGATGACAATAGCTATGCTAGCAGTGAACCCTCGACTTCTCGGTCGAGGTCTGCGAAACATAGTCAAGCTTCTCTTTCCAGGTTGGGAATGAAGCAGCGGAGACGTTCATCTGATGAGAATCCTAATGCCCTTGATCTGTTGGAGTCAGGTTGGTTTGCACTTTGCGCAGTTCGTGTAGTTGTTTGAAAACATATATAGGAATTAACTCGATTTTCTGTACATATGTAGAGATTGAAATGATGAAAGAAAGATTTTCAAAGCTACTACTAGGAGAAGATATGTCTGGTGGTGGAAAAGGTGTATGCACTGCAGTTACAGTCTCAAATTCAATTACCAACCTCTATGGTAATTCTTTAATTAGTAAAGATCTGTGAAAATTTCTTAACATTTTAACTTTGTTGCATACATATTCAAATATTAGGCATTGATTTGATGAAATGTAATCACTTTCTTTGGACTTTGTGAATAAACAAAATTCATAGAATGGTTTAGAATTCCAACATAGTCATTGAACATTTCTGGATTGGGAATTTGCAGCCACTGTATTTGGACAAAATTTAAAGTTGCAGCCACTGAACCTTGAAAAGAAGGCTATGTGGAAAAGAGAAATGAATTGTCTTATATCTGTGTGTGAATACATAGTAGAATTTGCCCCAACTGCACAATACTTGGATGATGGCACAATTGTGGAGGTGAACTATTGTTGAACCTTAGCTATAACATCAATGAACCTTATTTGTCGGCATCTCAAAATGTGTCTAAATATTATGTATGTTATGATGTCTCTCAGGTAATGACAAGCAGACCAAGATCAGATATTTATATCAACCTTCCAGCTTTGCAGAAGCTTGACACTATGCTCATAGTAAGAAAATTCCAATTGCTTCTTGTTTTCGACCTTATGACCTCTTTTCATCCTTAGGCCTTGTGCCCCTAACAAAGTTGAATGTTTTGCTTACAGGAAATATTGGATAGTTTCATAGATACTGAGTTTTGGTATGCAGAGCATGGGAGCATATCGGGGAATTCAACCCGTTCGCGCGAAGGCTCGTTTCGAAAGGTTGTTCAGAGAAAAGATGAGAAATGGTGGTTGCCAGTTCCTTGTGTTGACCCTGGTGGTGTCTCTGTTAAGTCAAGGAAGCATTTGATTGAGAAAAGGGACTGTGCTAATCAAATTCATAAAGCATCCATGGCGATAAATAGCAGTGTTCTTGCCGAGGTCGATATCCCGGAGACATATATGGCAAATCTTCCCAAGGTTAGTCCTCATTGATGATCCAATTTTTTTATGATATTGTTGTTTCTCAAAGTTTAAGACTAAAATACATGCATTGAGTCTGTATAACTGTAACATTTTTGGGATGTGACTATGGATTTCACTAAATGAATCCAATAATAAACAACTGAGTCTTGTAGAGAACATGATGGTATAATATCATAGAAGGTACTAGTAGTAACATGTGAATTTGATGAGATTTTTCTTTTGATTTTGTGCTTGTCCCTTGAAATTAGTTATGGATATTTAAGACGGATAGTTCATGACTTTTATATAAGTCGAAGTAAGAAAGAGCGTATGGAATGTAAGTTTAGCGAGAGACAAACAAATTGTGGTGAAAAGGTAAAAATTGGAGATCATACCATAACATATGTCACTAGATTTAAGTATCTTGAGTCAATCATATAATATGATGAGGAAATTGAGAGAGATGTAAACTATAAGATTCAAGCTAGTGAATGAAATGTCGGAGTGCTTCAGGTGTTATATATGATAGAAATGCGTCACTAAAACTTAAGTGAAAGTTTTACCATATAGCTATAAGACTTGCACTGTTGCAATGTTATATGAGACTGAATATTGGGTGGTAAAATGTTACCAAGAGATAAAGTCAAAGAAGTAGAGATGATAATGTTGCATTGGATGAATAGACACAAGATAGGATTAAGAATCAATGAAGCCCGATGCACAAGGCTCACACCTTATGGGTTTGGAGAGGGTAAATGTACACAATCTTACCTCATAGAGAGGTTGCTAGGATTTGAAATCACCTCTCAGCCACTAAGAAGCAAATTTACAATTGCGTCGTGGTTCACCCTCTAGGATTAAGAATGAATGCATTAAAGAGAGATTTTGAGTAATTCTTGTTGTAGGAAAGATGGTAGAATGGTGAAAGTTAGAAGTTCCACTGATGAGAGTAGAACAAATGAATATTAGTCTAGAGGGATGCCAAGAAAAACTATAGGTTAAACGATCAGGGAAGATTCAGAAATCAACATTTTGTCAATTAACATAATATATAATAGACTATTATAACGACATTCAATCCGACCCCACATTTTTAACTATAAGTAGTCACCATTGTTTAATTCCATTCAATGCATTGAGTCTTATTCAAATTTGTTTAAAAATGTCTAAAACATTATCTTATTTCCTTTTCTCTTTTCATAAGAGTGGAAGGGCATGTCTAGGGGACACGATTTACCGTTGTATGTGTGCTACCGACAAATTCTCACCCAACAACCTTCTTCAAAGTCTCAAAATAAGTTCTGAACATGAAGCTCTTGAGTTGGCAGACAAGGTAGAATCTTCAATGTACACATGGAGACGTAAAACTTGTTTGAGCCATTCTAAGTCATCATGGAATGAAGTAAAGGACATTATGGCTGACACTTACAAGAATGACAAAAACTATGTCTTAGCTGAGAGAGCTGAGGCTTTATTGTTTTGCTTGAAGCAGAAGTTTCCTGGACTTTCACAAACTTCCTTGGACACATGCAAGATTCAATACAATCGGGTAAGTTTAATGGTACCACATAAATGTCATGGTTACATAATTCTTTGATTTATGCTACTTAACCCGTATCAATTTCACCTTACAAAACATAACGGGTTGGGATTCTCTCAAGTATTGGACTGTCCAGTACTGGATTTTGAGCCTCAGAATAATTTGAAATTTTAAAAAAATACTTTAATTAAAAACAATTTAAAATCTGGACCGTTAAAAAATTTCAAAGGACTTATGTCATAATCTCTGACTGTACTGGAGAGTCTAGTACAACAGATGATCCATTTCCCAACATACCATATACAAGGTTTGATATAAAGAATGTCTTATAGTATTAATAAAAATTGACAACACATATTTAAAGCATTCCCAAGACAATGAGATAGGCGATGTGAAACTTACTTCCTAACCTGCCCCTCTACATAAGAGGGTCGGACCAGACGAATGATTACTTTTGACCCATAACTAAATGCATCTTTTGGCTCATGACGAACAAAAAGAAGTGGAGCTTTGACTCTAATACCATATAAATGTTCAATCTCAAAACCAATTAGCAATGAGTAGAGTAGTCCGACAGTTATTATACAATTTCTGATATAATGAGGTAGGCGATGTGGAACTTCATTCCCAACAATATGCTGTAATTATTAGCATTGGAAAAAAAGTCCAAAGCCATGACATGGTCAATCTCCTAAGAACATTTTTTGGACACCATGATAATAAGGATATCATTGTAGAAAGTGAATTAACATATATCTAATTATGATATCATAAATAATGAAAATTATCTTGTGCAGGATGTGGGGAAAGCAATTCTAGAGAGCTACTCAAGAGTATTGGAAAGCTTAGCATTCAACATTGTTGCTTGGATTGAAGATGTTGTCCATGTAGATAAATCAATGAGGAATCAAAATGTATAGAAACCATAACTGAGTTTTACACTCTCTTCTTTACAATTTTTTTTGTAAGCCATAGATTTTGTAGAGCTTAGACATGTATAGATTAATGTATAGTAAGCTAGTTACTTGCATCTATATGAAAATTAGTTGTTAGTTATACTACATAAGATAATTTTTCATATTCAGTTGGAGGTTCATAATTTATGTAATCTTTTGTTTTAAAAATTAAAAAAAGTAAACACAAGTTTTCAAAAGTCTAGTCATAACAGAAGTCAGAAGAATTGAAGATAGGTTATACACTAAATAATAAAGTATTTACTCATAACAGATAATTTATCTCCTACAGCCGCCAGTAAAAGAATGACATATATATTGTTTTGTTTAGTTTTAGAATTTTTTTCTCTAGAAAATGATTAAATAGTACACATGTCACGATTTTGGTGGTAAAACATTTGAAGGTTAACACTTTATATATATTTTATATGATGATCAAAAGGATAAAGATAGCAATAAAAAAAATAAAATTGAAATGAAATCAAAGAGTTCTTTTTCACTTAGTATCATGAACATAAATGTGTTTTCAATTTTGTATAAAAAATATACAAACCTGATTATTTTGTTGTTATAGACTAGTTGAACTATGAAAATGAAAGTCCACTTTCACAAATATTGGCATAGTTGAAATTCATTTCCACTCATTGGTAAGTGAGTTTTACATCATAAATGAAAATATGAAATATTTATAACAACTTTTCTCTTTCTCATCTTCATTACTTGTCTATCTTTATCATTTTAATTACTATAATATTTAATGTAAATTCTAATAATTAAGAAGATATTCATGTAAAAATATAACAAAATTATAAAATTGACAAATAATGAAAGAGTGTAATAATACCAACATTATATCATCCATTGCATTAAAGTTTTTTACATCATAAATGAAATATTGAGGATATTAATGATTTTTCTGTATTAGGTTTAATCGGTTTAAACAGTTAAGCCGTCCGGTCGAACCAGATGTTATATCTTTTAAAATTTTTAAGTTAACTGTCTAATTCTTCTCCGGTTATTTCACTTTAACTAGGCTTAGCATGGTCGAAATAGAATTTTTTCGGTTCAAAGTGATTCAACCATTCATTCGATTAAAACCATAAATCATAAACGTTTTCAAGTTGGATCAGCAAACGGTCGAATGGACTGTCGGGTCTGATTATTAAAAAGGTAGAGAGACAACGTGAAACCTTATTTTATTTTTGTTTTAACCATACCTGACCTACGCTTGGCTATCGCTCGACGACCTAACTACGGTAGCTGCCCCTCCTTGACGGAGCCGCCACCATTTTCAGCGTCGCCGGTACCATTTCTATTTCTCTCTCTTCATCTTCTCCCTCCACCTTTCTTCTTTCTCTTTCTCCTCACAAATTTAACATTTTTACTACTCAATTCCCCAACTTTACACATTTTTCAGCTTCAAAAATTCGACCTTTTTTATCCTCTAATTCTTAATTACTCAGTAATTAAAAATTTCTCTTTCTATAGATTTATGCTGTTTTCATATGAGTGAGGGTTTCAGTTTAGTAATGTTAATCGATAATATTCGGTTTAATGTAGATTTATTCTATTTTATTCAGTTTTGTTGAACCTTATTCGTGTTATAGTTTATGGGTTTCTTTTCAATTTTAATATTTGTTTCGTCGCTGATCCTTTTTGTTCTTCAATATTCAACTGTGTATTAGATGGATTTTGAATTTCACCTATTACTACAATACAATGTAGTTTTTAATGGTATATTGTTTATGGAACAAGAACTTTGAATTGTTATACCTAGAACCAAATGCTTCTTTAATTGTTTAATCGTGTTTGTGGTGTTTTTTTTTGCTGCAACCTTTTTTGTTAATCGTCTTAGAATAGTACACTGTCACTTGGATTTTGAAAACTTTTTGAATAGGATTTCGATTTATAGTCTTAAGCTTAAAATTTTGGTTCAATTTATGATAGAATTTTGGGCCTCCCTCATCGCTTGCGAGGGTAAGGTTGCATATATTTACTCTCCCCAGATCCCACTAGGTGGGAGCCTTGTGCAGTGGGCCGACTATGTGATAGAATTTTGGGCTATACAGATACTCTTTATTCATTCTGCCGTGACTTTTTTTGTTATTCGTCTTATGTTAATATATTGCAGGTAGTGTCTTCGAGGAGAGATCATTTCATCTCCAAGTGGTATCTTATAATACTCTTTTTGTGTGTTCAAAATGGCATTGGTGGTAATCTGTGGGCAGCCATGCAGTGGAAAGTCCAAAGCAGCACTTTGTCTGGTGGAAGCTCTCAAAGAATCAGAATCCAAACATCAAGTGAGGATCATAGATGAAGCTTGCTTACATCTTGATCGTAATCAGAGTTATGCGAATATGCCTTCCGAGAAGAATTTAAGAGGGGTGCTAAGGTCGGAAGTAGACAGGTCAGTGTCCAAAGATAGCATCGTTATAGTCGATTCTTTGAATAATATCAAGGGTTACCGGTATGAGTTATGGTGTTTGGCTCGTGCGTCGGGGATCAGATATTGTGTGGTTTACTGCGATGTTGAAGAAACCCATTGTAGAAAATGGAATGAAGAACGCAGGGAGAAAGGAGAAACTAATTATAATGATTCAATATTTGATGATTTGGTGAGAAGGTTTGAGAAACCAGATAGAAGAAACCGATGGGATTCTCCTTTGTTTGAGTTATGGCCTTCCAGAGATGCAACAGATAAATCTTCTGCTGCAATCTTAGATGCTGTCTCCTACTTAACAAAAAAGGTGGACTCCAAAACCCGGGATGTTAAGATATTACAACCAACTATTGCAACTCAGACTTCACGTTTCACGGAAGCAAATTCTCTCTTTGAGTTGGACAAAGCAACACAAGAGGTCACAAATGTTATAGTAGAAGCACAATCTCATGCCCTTGGTGGGCCACTTAATGGCATTTCTGTAGGGAAAGACTTGCCTACAATCAATATTTCAAGATCAGTTGGGCTGCCTGAGCTTCGAAGGATGCGGCGTACCTTCATAAAACTGACAGGGCAAACAAGTTTAAGTGGACCAGCACCTCCTTCTGATTCAGAGAGTGCAAAGAGAATGTTTATTGACTACTTGAACAGGGAACTAGGATCTTCTTGAAGTACAACAGATGATAGTCTTGCAATTCCGGCTGTAAGTGCCTTAAAAGCTGTCATATTTTGTTGTAATGTTAGATACTGAGCTATCTTATATTATTCACAGCATACTTGTTGAATAAGCTACCTTTTTTTTTACGTTTTATGATGTTTTTATTTCCATCAGTTCATAGTACTAGTGATGTAGTAAAGATGATAACGCTTGGTTCTTCACTTATCAGAACATGTCCTATATGATCTCTCACTCTTATCAACATCTTGTGGTTTGTCCTTAATAAATACTAGATGCAGAATTGCATGTTGGTGGTGCTCATACAAAATTAAATGTTTAATATTTTCACAAAGATGCTACTTTACCTCAAATTTTAGTAAGTTTTAGCAAGTTAGTAAACTCAAGGACTTGTGGTACAATATTTTTAGAATTATATGAAGGTTCCAGATTATGTAGACTTATCATAAGTAATCTAAATCCATAGAAGTTAAGGAAGCAAAGAGCATAAGGTAGAAATAGGATGAAAAAATTGAAAGTCACATGCTTAGTGGAGTGTAGACACCAGACAATCATATGCTCTCTTTTTCAGAGTGTATCTTGTAGTACTAAGCAGTGTTTTGATAATGGGGCCGGACGGTCCGACCCATCCAATCGCTGACCAGACTTGAAAACAGCTATAGTTTATAGTCTTAAACCGGAATAACCCGAGAAGTGAACCAAATAATTCACTTAAAATTTTAAAAAATGGAACATTACTCTAATGTTTTGTTTTACTTTGGTCCAAAAAAAGATAGAGAAATGTTATTTCAATATAGTTATATAAAATTATTAACGATATAAAATTCCATATATAATTATATATTTATAGATAAAAATTATTAATCATATTTAAAATCATCTGGTCCAACCGGACGGTTTAACTGTTTAAACTGGTTAAACTTAATACGGAACTTCTTTCGACTTGATGTCCGGCTCGGGTTTCACAATCTTCTAACATTTTCCCATTTAACATTACATATTTTGACTCCCTAAAAGCTGAGAATAACAAAATCCAGAAGGTAAAGACATAGCACATATCTTTTTTGTTGTTGTTGAAAAAGACAACACAAATGTTGGTAACCGCATAAATGTATTCTTAGATGAGCAAAAGAGGTTGAGATACCTATCTTATATGAAGATGAGGTAATTGGTATAATGGTCATTCTGTTAACTTTATGACATAGTCTCTTTATTTGTTCAAATAAGACTGCATTTGTTCTCCTCAAACCTCTTACCATCTGAGAATCTCAAACACCAAATCACTTTTTGTTAGACAACAAAATTTTGAGCTGTTCAATGTACTTTATTTTCTATAGCTAATAATACCATGATAATTTAAGTAACACTGTCTA